CACACACAACTCAGGTGAGACCACCACTCACTCAGGTGAACACTCAGGTGAGACACTCACTCACTCAGATGAGAGACACACACACACACTCAGGTGAGACACACACACACACAGCGAGACACAGGTGAGACACTCACTCACTCAGATGAGAGACACACACATACACGACCTGGTTTAGGACTCATAAAGCTGAATAAATATTTTCTCTTTTAGAAAAAAGAGTAGACATCAGAGCAGTTCACGCACCCATTGACTGCGTGTCTCTGTTGCTCCTACACTAGTCCTTTTAAAACACTTTGAGAAACACTTTGAACTTTATTTATTTCATATGTGAAATGTTACCAATATACTCAGGGCCCACTAGGGGTCGCTCAGGGACCAGACTTTGAGAAACACCTCTCTCTGGTCCTGGTTGAGGACTCATTCCTCCCCCTCTCTCCAGCTGCTGCAGGAGCTGTGCACGGTGTTTAACGTGGACCTGCCGTCTCGCGTGAAGTCCTCTCAGCTCGGCATCATCAGCAACAAGCAGAGCGGCAGCAGCATCGTCACCCCGCAGCCCAGCTCCTGCTCCTACATCTGCCAGCACTGCCTCGTGCACCTGGGAGACATCGGTGAGAACAATTCAGGTTATTAAAGAACACCATCAGGGCTTCACTTCAGACGCCTCCTGAAGTGTTGGAGCGTTACGATAAACATGAGGCAGGATCAGGTTCATTGATCTGCTTTAGTGTAAAACGATGCGCACAAAAACAATTATATGTTTTTTAATTTCTACAATTAAATAATTAAAAATGAATCAAATGTTGAAAAAAAGATTATAATAAATGAAAAAAAGATTATTATTATAAGATATGCAAATAAATAACAATAATTTAAAGACTACCGTAAGAGCTGCCTCGTGCCCCTGGGAGACCGAGATCAGGTTTTATTTATATAGCACATTTTTAAAACGATTTTTGGTCGAGTCAAAGTGAATGAAAACACTTTACTACAATAGCACACAGAAGACAACAAGTTACCACAGCAAAAATAAAAATCACACACAGGGAACAGTCAGGAGTCGTGCTCCGCTCTCACTAGAAGGCCAGGGAGAAGAAGTGAGTTTTAAGAGTAGATTTAGGCCGACCTCACACGGAGGGGCAGAGCGTTCCAGAGCCTGGGGCCAGCCGCTGCGAAGGCTCGATGTCCTCGGGTTTTGAGCCTGGTCTTAGGCACTACCAGCAGCAGCTGATCAGCCGACCTTAAGGCTCTGGCTGGGGTGTAGCGCTGGAGGAGTTCGGCTACATAGGCCGGAGCCCATTTAGGGCTTTGAAAACAAATAAAAGGAATTTAAAATCTATTCTGAACCGAACTGGAAGCCGGTGCAGTGAGGCCAGAATTGGGGTGATGTGGTCACGCTTTTTATGGCCAGTGAGAAGACGTGCAGCTGCGTACTGCACTAGCTGCAGGCGTCTAATTGAGGCCTGGTCCATACCCACATACAGAGCGCTGCAGTAATCCAGTCTCGAGGTAACAAAGGCGTTAATAACCCTTTCTAGGTCTTTAAAAGATAAATACGACTTGGTCTTAGCCAATAGTCGTATTTAAAAAAAAAAAAAAAAAAAAGCAAGTCTTGACTACGGAGCTTATCAAATTCAAAGTCCTATTGAAGGTCACTCCACATCACATCGGTGAGAACACCTGCGTTAAAGATAAGACCTTATTGTTCCCAAGTTGGGACATGTTTGCATCAAAAGACACTACAATTAAAAGAAATACACGTTTAAAAAGGTGAACCCGGAGTAATCTGCGGCCGCGAGCACGGTGTTATTACTTTATATATTATAATGGGAGCACGCTGTGTGCTCGAGTCTTCCTGCCTGTCGGCTGAACTCTGCTGCTCCGCGATGAGGGTCTCACTCCAGCAGCTATAATCTTATTGTGAAACAAGTTTGACTAAAATGACAAGTTATTGGTTTTGGCTAGTTTGACTGAAATGTTCTAAATAATCTGATGACTAAAAAAGACTCAACAGTTTTCATTGACAAAAAGTAGACTCAAATAATTAGTTTTCTTTGACTAAAATGCTCAGACTTTTAGTCGACTAAAACTTGACTAAATAAAAACAGGATGAAGGTGACTAAATATGACTAAAAAGGAAATTTAACACAGGACTAATACTAAATAAAAAAATAGCTGACGAAATTAACACTAGTAGCAGTAGTGATAGCAGTAGTGATAGCAGTAGTGATAGTAGTAGTGATAGCAGTAGTGATAGCAGTAGTGATAGTAGCAGTGATAGCAGTAGTGATAGTAGTAGTGATAGCAGTAGTGATAGCAGTAGTGATAGCAGTAGTGATAGTAGTAGTGATAGTAGTAGTGATAGTAGTAGTGATAGCAGTAGTGATAGCAGTAGTGATAGCAGTAGTGATAGCAGTAGTGATAGCAGTAGTGATAGCAGTAGTGATAGCAGTAGTGATAGCAGCAGTGATAGCAGCAGTGATAGCAGTAGTGATAGCAGTAGTGATAGCAGTAGTGATAGTAGTAGTGATAGCAGTAGTGATAGCAGTGGTGATAGCAGTGGTGATAGCAGTGGTGATAGCAGTAGTGATAGTAGCAGTGATAGCAGCAGTGATAGCAGTAGTGATAGTAGTAGTGATAGTAGTAGTGATAGCAGTAGTGATAGCAGTAGTGATAGCAGTAGTGATAGTAGCAGTGATAGCAGTAGTGATAGCAGTAGTGATAGTAGTGATAGTAGTGATAGTAGTAGTGATAGTAGTAGTGATAGCAGTAGTGATAGCAGCAGTGATAGCAGCAGTGATAGCAGTAGTGATAGCAGTAGTGATAGCAGTAGTGATAGTAGTAGTGATAGCAGTAGTGATAGCAGTGGTGATAGCAGTGGTGATAGCAGTGGTGATAGCAGTAGTGATAGTAGCAGTGATAGCAGCAGTGATAGCAGTAGTGATAGTAGTAGTGATAGTAGTAGTGATAGCAGTAGTGATAGCAGTAGTGATAGCAGTAGTGATAGCAGTAGTGATAGCAGTAGTGATAGCAGTAGTGATAGCAGTAGTGATAGCAGTAGTGATAGCAGTAGTGATAGCAGTAGTGATAGCAGTAGTGATAGTAGTAGTGATAGCAGTAGTGATAGTAGTGATAGCAGTAGTGATAGTAGTGATAGCAGTAGTGATAGCAGTAGTGATAGTAGTGATAGCAGTAGTGATAGCAGTAGTGATAGCAGTAGTGATAGTAGTGATAGCAGCAGTGATAGCAGTAGTGATAGTAGTAGTGATAGCAGTAGTGATAGTAGTAGTGATAGTAGTAGTGATAGCAGTAGTGATAGTAGTAGTGATAGCAGTAGTGATAGTAGTAGTGATAGTAGTAGTGATAGCAGTAGTGATAGCAGTAGTGATAGTAGTAGTGATAGCAGTAGTGATAGTAGTGATAGCAGCAGTGATAGCAGTAGTGATAGTAGTAGTGATAGCAGTAGTGATAGTAGTAGTGATAGTAGTAGTGATAGCAGTAGTGATAGTAGTAGTGATAGCAGTAGTGATAGTAGTAGTGATAGTAGTAGTGATAGCAGTGGTGATAGTAGTAGTGATAGTAGTAGTGATAGCAGTAGTGATAGCAGTAGTGATAGCAGTAGTGATAGCAGTAGTGATAGTAGTAGTGATAGCAGTAGTGATAGTAGTGATAGTAGTGATAGTAGTGATGGTAGTGATAGCAGTAGTGATAGTAGTGATAGTAGTGATGGTAGTGATAGTAGTGATAGTAGTGATAGTAGTGATAGCAGCAGTGATAGCAGTAGTGATAGTAGTAGTGATAGCAGTAGTGATAGTAGTAGTGATAGTAGTAGTGATAGCAGTAGTGATAGTAGTGATAGTAGTGATAGTAGTGGTAGTAGTGATAGTAGTAGTGATAGTAGTGATAGTTAGCGTGATAGCAGTAGTAGCAGTGATAGCAGTAGTGATAGCAGTAGTGATAGCAGTAGTAGATAGCAGTGATAGTGATAGCAGGTTAGTGATCGCAGTAGTGATTAGTAAGTGATAGCTAGTAGTGTAGTGATAGCTAAGTAGTGATGTAGTAGTGATAGCAGTAGTGATAGCAGTAGTGATAGTAGTAGTGATAGCAGTAGTGATAGCAGTAGTGATAGTAGTAGTGATAGCAGTAGTGATAGCAGTAGTGATAGCAGTAGTGATAGCAGTAGTGATAGCAGTAGTGATAGCAGTAGTGATAGCAGTAGTGATAGTAGTAGTGATAGCAGTAGTGATAGCAGTAGTGATAGCAGTAGTGATAGTAGTAGTGATAGCAGTAGTGATAGCAGCAGTGATAGCAGTAGTGATAGCAGCAGTGATAGCAGTAGTGATAGCAGTAGTGATAGCAGTAGTGATAGCAGTAGTGATAGCAGTAGTGATAGCAGTAGTGATAGCAGTAGTGATAGCAGTAGTGATAGCAGTAGTGATGGCAGTAGTGATAGTAGTAGTGATAGCAGTAGTGATAGCAGTAGTGATAGTAGTAGTGATAGCAGTAGTGATAGCAGTAGTGATAGTAGTAGTGATAGCAGTAGTGATAGCAGTAGTGATAGTAGTAGTGATAGCAGTAGTGATAGTAGTGATAGCAGTAGTGATAGTAGTAGTGATAGCAGTAGTGATAGTAGTAGTGATAGCAGTAGTGATGGTAGTAGTGATAGCAGTAGTGATAGTAGTAGTGATAGCAGTAGTGATAGCAGTAGTGATAGCAGTAGTGATAGTAGCAGTGATAGCAGTAGTGATAGCAGTAGTGATAGTAGCAGTGATAGCAGTAGTGATAGCAGTAGTGATAGCAGTAGTGATAGCAGTAGTGATAGCAGTAGTGATAGCAGTAGTGATAGTAGTGATAGCAGTAGTGATAGTAGTGATAGCAGTAGTGATAGTAGCAGTGATAGCAGCAGTGATAGCAGTAGTGATAGCAGTAGTGATAGCAGTAGTGATAGCAGTAGTGATAGCAGTAGTGATAGCAGTAGTGTTAGCAGTAGTGATAGCAGTAGTGATAGTAGTAGTGATAGCAGTAGTGATAGCAGTAGTGATAGCAGTAGTGATAGTAGTAGTGATAGTAGTAGTGATAGCAGTAGTGATAGCAGTAGTGATAGCAGTAGTGATAGCAGTAGTGATAGCAGTAGTGATAGTAGTAGTGATAGCAGTAGTGATAGTAGTGATAGCAGTAGTGATAGTAGTGATAGCAGTAGTGATAGTAGCAGTGATAGCAGCAGTGATAGCAGTAGTGATAGCAGTAGTGATAGCAGTAGTGATAGCAGTAGTGATAGTAGTAGTGATAGCAGTAGTGATAGTAGTAGTGATAGCAGTAGTGATAGCAGCAGTGATAGCAGCAGTGATAGCAGCAGTGATAGCAGCAGTGATAGCAGCAGTGATAGCAGCAGTGATAGCAGCAGTGATAGCAGCAGTGATAGCAGTAGTGATAGCAGTAGTGATAGCAGCAGTGATAGCAGTAGTGATAGCAGCAGTGATAGTAGTAGTGATAGCAGTAGTGATAGCAGTAGTGATAGTAGTAGTGATAGCAGTAGTGATAGCAGCAGTGATAGCAGCAGTGATAGCAGTAGTGATAGCAGCAGTGATAGCAGCAGTGATAGCAGTAGTGATAGCAGTGGTGATAGCAGTGGTGATAGCAGCGGTGATAGCAGCGGTGATAGCAGCGGTGATAGCAGCGGTGATAGCAGCGGTGATAGTAGCGGTGATAGTAGCGGTGATAGCAGCGGTGATAGCAGCGGTGATAGCAGTAGTGATAGCAGTAGTGATAGTAGTAGTGATAGCAGTAGTGATAGCAGTAGTGATAGCAGTAGTGATAGCAGTAGTGATAGCAGTAGTGATAGCAGTAGTGATAGCAGTAGTGGTGATAGCAGCGGTGATAGCAGTAGTGATAGCAGTAGTGATAGCAGTAGTGATAGCAGTAGTGATAGTAGTAGTGGCGGCGGTGTTGGCGGCGGTGGCAATAGCAGCAGTAACTCACGGACCACCTAGCTCCACACATATCCAGAAACAATAGGCCTGCTCTCCAACAGCACATCACAGCCTAATAATGACAGCTTAACCTTCTCTGTCGCCTCGTTCACACAATAAATCAACAATACAACTACAGATCATAAGCATTGTGTTCAAATGCTCTCAGGTTTTACACCTCTTATGAAATATAGACTACATTTATTACGGACGACTCACAGATCGTTGGCTACTGAGAGAAATGCAAAATACACCGCATAGTACGACACGAACCTCCGCTGTGGATTTTCAAAACAAAATACAGTAAACTCTGGTCGCAGGCCCAAGTCTAACTCTCTGAGGTAGACATATCATCTCTATCTAACTCCTAACTTCTAACTCTACTTCCAGCATGGATACATTGTTTTATACGCTTCTTGAAATAAAAAATAAAACACATCGTTTTTCTAGAACAGATTACAAATCGCCTGGAAATGGAACCAACACGTGGCAACATGTGTGACGAAGGTGTTGCGCTGGGCTATATCATGCCAACTTTTGATATAGTCACTTTGCATCGAAAGCTCGCTCCATTGCGGAGATACTCCACGCGAGTGCGGAGATACTCCGCGAGAGTGCGGAGATACTCCCCGAGAGTGCGGAGATACTCCCCGAGAGTGCGGAGATACTCCCCGAGAGTGCGGAGATACTCCGCGAGAGTGCGGAGATACTCCACGAGACTGCGGAGCACTTAAATAAATGAATGAATTTCAAATGTGACATTTTACCAATATACTCACGGACCACTAGGGGGCGCTCACGGGCCACACTTTGAGAAACGCTGCCCTAAGAGGAATGAAGTTTTAAAAAATAGAGAAAATGACCTTTTTTTGGATAATTGAATAACTTTTAATAAATAACTAAAAACATGTTAACAAAAATATAAATATTCAAATAAACATTTTGTGTGTGTGTGTGTGTGTGTGTGTGTGTGTGTGTGTGTGTGTGTGTGTGTGTGTGTGTGTGTGTGTGTGTGTGGTGTGTGTGTGTGTGTGTGTGTGTGTGTGTGTGTGTGTGTGTGTGTGTGTGTGTGTGTGTGTGTGTGTGTGTGTGTGTGTGTGTGTGTGTGTGTGTGTGTGTGTCTCATCATGTTGTGTGTTTGTGTGTTTCAGCGCGGTACCGTAACCAGACGAGTCAGGCGGAGTCGTACTACAGACACGCCGCTCAGCTGGTCCCGTCTAACGGTGAGTTCACTGACGCTAGCAGTTTCCATCCGCTTCCAGCCACTGTGCTAAGCTAGGCTAAAGGCTATATTCAGAACGAGTATCAGAAACAGGTGTATCACCAGGTAGGTTGACACGTATGATGAATCTGACTTGGTGTTGAGGTGCAGACATAAACAAACATACAACGAATTCAAAACACAGATAAAGAACTATTTTAAGAAAACTATAATAACATTAAAACATATAGTAAGATATAGCAGTATTTACATTAGAATGGAATAAAGTATGAGGGCATGTCAGTGGATGGAGGTACATGAAGCCTCATGTGTTTGATGACCCGCAGGTCAGCCGTACAACCAGCTCGCCATCCTGGCCTCGTCTAAAGGAGACCACCTGACCACCATCTTCTATTACTGCCGCAGCATCGCCGTCAAGTTCCCCTTCCCTGCAGCTTCCACTAACCTGCAGAAGGCTCTGTCCAAGGCCCTGGAGAGGTGACACACACACACACACACACACACACACCACTAACCTGCAGAAGGCTCTGTCCAAGGCCCTGGAGAGGTGACACACACACACACACACACACACACACACACACACACACACCACTAACCTGCAGAAGGCTCTGTCCAAAGCCCTGGAGAGGTGACACACACACACACACACACACACACACACACACACCACTAACCTGCAGAAGGCTCTGTCCAGGCCCTGGAGAGGTGACACACACACACCTCTAACACACACACACACCACTAACGGCCCGTCTACACTACAGGCATCAAAAAATCTTGAAGCTGGGCGATTTTTTGCGACCAACAACCAATCACATGAATCTCCCGCCCCCGACATACAAAGCAATAGCAATGTTAAAACGAAGTAAACTGGATATAAAATCCCCAAACAGGCGAAAACCTACCAGTTTCACCCACTGTCTCTGCCACCTCCCTCCATGCCTGGTTCCTCCGGTTTGTATCCCGGTAAATAGTTCTGGTCGGAAAGAACCGGGTGATTTGCTACCGTAACTTCTCGTTTGGAATATGAGGAAATGAACTGCGGTCTGGCTCTCCCAGCTTGCACGCGGTTTGATTGGCTAGCGCTTGTACTGGCGGGAATTGCAAAAACGGGATTTGATTGGCTGACGCCAGCTTCGAGCAAGCATCGAGCCTCAAAAGTTGAACATTGTTCAACTTTTGACGCCGATAGACGCTCGCGATGCTTGCAACGCCTTGCCATGCTACCCACAATGCAGTTCGGCGAAGTTTGAAAATATCCTACGTCACCCCATTCAAATGAATGGGCGAAGCGTTGAAAGCATTTTTTGACGCCTGTAGTGTAGACGGGCCGTAACCTGCAGAAAGCTCTGTCCAAGGCCCTGGAGAGGTGACACACACACACACACACACACACACACACACACACACACACACCACTAACACACACACACACACACCACTAACCTGCAGAAGGCTCTGTCCAAGGCCCTGGAGAGGTGACACACACACACACACACACACACCACTAACACACACACACACACACCACTAACCTGCAGAAGGCTCTGTCCAAGGCCCTGGAGAGGTGACACACACACACACACACACACACACACACACCACTAACACACACACACACCACTAACCTGCAGAAGGCTCTGTCCAAGGCCCTGGAGAGGTGACACACACACACACACACACACACACACCACTAACACACACACACACACACACCACTAACCTGCAGAAGGCTCTGTCCAAGGCCCTGGAGAGGTGACACACACACACACACACACACACACACACACACACCACTAACACACACACACCACTAACCTGCAGAAGGCTCTGTCCAAGGCCCTGGAGAGGTGACACACACACACACACACACACACACACACACACATACCACTAACCTGCAGAAGGCTCTGTCCAAGGCCCTGGAGAGGTGACACACACACACACACACACACACACACCACTAACACACACCACTAACCTGCAGAAGGCTCTGTCCAAGGCCCTGGAGAGGTGACACACACACACACACACACACACACACACACACACACACACACACATACCACTAACCTGCAGAAGGCTCTGTCCAAGGCCCTGGAGAGGTGACACACACACACACACACACACACACACCACTAACACACACCACTAACCTGCAGAAGGCTCTGTCCAAGGCCCTGGAGAGGTGACACACACACACACACACACACACACCACTAACACACACACCACTAACCTGCAGAAGGCTCTGTCCAAGGCCCTGGAGAGGTGACACACACACACACACACACCACTAACACACACACACACACCACTAACACACACACACCACTAACCTGCAGAAGGCTCTGTCCAAGGGTCTGGAGAGGTGACACACACACACACACACACACACACACACCACTAACACACACACACACACACCACTAACCTGCAGAAGGCTCTGTCCAAGGCCCTGGAGAGGTGACACACACACACACACACACACACACACACACACCACTAACACACACACACACACCACTAACCTGCAGAAGGCTCTGTCCAAGGCCCTGGAGAGGTGACACACACACACACCACACACACACACACACACACACCACTAACACACACACCACTAACCTGCAGAAAGCTCTGTCCAAGGCCCTGGAGAGGTGACACACACACACACACACACACACACACACACACACATACCACTAACCTGCAGAAGGCTCTGTCCAAGGCCCTGGAGAGGTGACACACACACACACACACACACACACACCACTAACACACACCACTAACCTGCAGAAGGCTCTGTCCAAGGCCCTGGAGAGGTGACACACACACACACACACACACACACACACACACATACCACTAACCTGCAGAAGGCTCTGTCCAAGGCCCTGGAGAGGTGACACACACACACACACACACACACACACCACTAACACACACCACTAACCTGCAGAAGGCTCTGTCCAAGGCCCTGGAGAGGTGACACACACACACACACACACACACACCACTAACACACACACCACTAACCTGCAGAAGGCTCTGTCCAAGGCCCTGGAGAGGTGACACACACACACACACACACACCACTAACACACACACACACACCACTAACACACACACACCACTAACCTGCAGAAGGCTCTGTCCAAGGGTCTGGAGAGGTGACACACACACACACACACACACACACACACACACACACACACCACTAACACACACACACACACACACCACTAACCTGCAGAAGGCTCTGTCCAAGGCCCTGGAGAGGTGACACACACACACACACACACACACACACACACACACACACCACTAACACACACACACACACCACTAACCTGCAGAAGGCTCTGTCCAAGGCCCTGGAGAGGTGACACACACACACACACACACACACACACACACACACCACTAACACACACACCACTAACCTGCAGAAAGCTCTGTCCAAGGCCCTGGAGAGGTGACACACACACACACACACACACACACACACACACCACTAACACACACACACCACTAACCTGCAGAAGGCTCTGTCCAAGGCCCTGGAGAGGTGACACACACACACACACACACACCACTAACACACACACCACTAACCTGCAGAAGGCTCTGTCCAGGCCCTGGAGAGGTGACACACACACACACACACACCACTAACACACACACACACACACCACTAACACACACACACCACTAACCTGCAGAAGGCTCTGTCCAAGGGTCTGGAGAGGTGACACACACATACACACACACCACTAACACACACACCACTAACCTGCAGAAGGCTCTGTCCAAGGCCCTGGAGAGGTGACACACACACACACACCACTAACACACACACCACTAACCTGCAGAAGGCTCTGTCCAAGGCCCTGGAGAGGTGACACACACACACACACCACTAACACACACACTAGCGCTGGGCAATATGTACAAAATATACCAAAAAATCTATTCTATTTTATTTATTTTTTAACCATTTTAAAAACTTGAATAAAAAATAAGTCTTTCAAATGAATATAAATACACAAAAATTTATATATTTTTTTTTTAAAGAATACAGTTAGAACAGTTAAGTCATGAAATAGGAGTAAATAAATTACTATTTTAAAAAAACTGTTAAATACAGTTTTGTGTGAACTTGTTACTTCTACCCTTATCGCCTGCTGTCCTGTCAAAAGTATAATTTTGGCCCAATTTGATCTTTTATAGTTGAATCTATCTGTAGTCTGCGTGCTGTGTATGGATGTGCGATGAACCACAGGTGTGAGGATCTGGAAAGGTTTGAAAATGCCAGAAACTTGCTTGAATGTGACTAAAAGAGGTCATTAACGAAGGAGTCGAGGTGTTTCAGGCAGTGTGTTGGAGAGAAACTCCACAGAGGGATGTTAACCTTTGCAGACCATTTACATGCACTATAGGACACACTAGAGGAGAGGCAGATATATCCTCTTTAGGAGAAGATGTAGCACTCCTCAGGAACGTTTTGAGTTAAACTGTGATGTTTCTCTCTGTGTCCCTGCAGCCGAGACGAAGTGAAAACCAAGTGGAGCGTCTCAGATTTCATCAGAGCCTTCATCAAGTTCCACGGCCACGTCTACCTGAGCAAGAGTCTGGAGAAGCTGGACGCTCTGAGGGAGAAACTGGAGGAGCAGTTTCAGGTGAGACCACGTCATGTGACCGTGCTGTAGTTCCTTTATAGCCCAACATTAGCCACCTTTAGCTTAGCGGTGGTGACCTGAAGTCATGTGACCGTGCTGTAGTTCCTTTATAGCCAAACATTAGCCTCCTTTAGCTTAGCGGTGGTGACCTGAAGTCATGTGACCGTGCTGTAGTTCCTTTATAGCCCAACATTAGCCACCTTTAGCTTAGCGGTGGTGACCTGAAGTCATGTGACCGTGCTGTAGTTCCTTTATAGCCCAACATTAGCCACCTTTAGCTTAGCGGTGGTGACGTGAAGTCATGTGACCGTGCTGTAGTTCCTTTATAGCCCAACATTAGCCACCTTTAGCTTAGCGGTGGTGACGTGAAGTCATGTGACCGTGCTGTAGTTCCTTTATAGCCCAACATTAGCCACCTTTAGCTTAGCGGTGGTGACGTGAAGTCATGTGACCGTGCTGTAGTTCCTTTATAGCCCAACATTAGCCGCCTTTAGCTTAGCGGTGGTGACGTGAAGTCATGTGACCGTGCTGTAGTTCCTTTATAGCCCAACATTAGCCTCCTTTAGCTTAGCGGTGGTGACGTGAAGTCATGTGACCGTGCTGTAGTTCCTTTATAGCCCAACATTAGCCACCTTTAGCTTAGCGGTGGTGACGTGAAGTGATGTGACCGTGCTGTAGTTCCTTTATAGCCCAACATTAGCCTCCTTTAGCTTAGCGGTGGTGGCGTGAAGTCATGTGACCGTGCTGTAGTTCCTTTATAGCCCAACATTAGCCGCCTTTAGCTTAGCGGTGGTGACGTGAAGTCATGTGACCGTGCTGTAGTTCCTTTATAGCCCAACATTAGCCACCTTTAGCTTAGCGGTGGTGACGTGAAGTCATGTGACCGTGCTGTAGTTCCTTTATAGACCAACATTAGCCTCCTTTAGCTTAGCGGTGGTGGCGTGAAGTCATGTGACCGTGCTGTAGTTCCTTTATAGCCCAACATTAGCCGCCTTTAGCTTAGCGGTGGTGACGTGAAGTCATGTGACCGTGCTGTAGTTGCTTTATAGCCCAACATTAGCCGCCTTTAGCTTAGCGGTGGTGACGTGAATTCATGTGACCGTGCTGTAGTTCCTTTATAGCCCAACATTAGACTCCTTTAGCTTAGCGGTGGTGACGTGAAGTCATGTGACCGTGCTGTAGTTCCTTTATAGCCCAACATTAGCCTCCTTTAGCTTAGCGGTGGTGACGTGAAGTCATGTGACCGTGCTGTAGTTCCTTTATAGCCCAACATTAGCCACCTTTAGCTTAGCAGTGGTGACGTGAAGTCATGTGACCGTGCTGTAGTTCCTTTATAGCCCAACATTAGCCTCCTTTAGCTTAGCGGTGGTGACGTGAAGTCATGTGACCGTGCTGTAGTTCCTTTATAGCCCAACATTAGCCACCTTTATTACATTTATTAGCCATGTGTCATCCCGGCAGCAGTTCTAAAAGACACCATGTGGACACGGGTCTTTCTCCTTCTTCCTGCATGCAGATTCTGCAGAAAGCAGAGAGCAAGCTGAACTCTCCAGCTCATGTTCCTTCAGAGTGTAGATATGCTCTACCTGCTCTTAAGACTAATCGCTTTTCAAAATCATTCTTGATAGGTTTTGTAACTTGATTATTAATTTACTCATTTGTATTGTGATGCTATGAACTATTTATGGTAGGGCTGTGCAATTAATCGTATTTTAATCGCGATTACGATTATGGCTTGTGACGATTATGAAAACAGCATAATTGACAAAATACGATTATTTTGCTGGGTGTGCTTTCGCCCCTCCCTAAAAGCCCACTCGGCCACGTGGGAGTGACATGTGTTCAGCGCGAGTGAAGATGTCAGAACAAGAGCAGCAACTCGTTAAAAAGAATGGTCGCGGGGAGATTCCCAGTCGATCGCGAGATGTGTCTAAAAATAGAACAACAATATTCTGTTTTATCGTTAATGTCCTGTAACATAATGTTCCCGTGCCAGAATAATGCACTTGAACGCATCAAAGCTTTGTGATTGGCCGGCGTGGCTGGTGGGCAGTGGGCAGTGCAGTGACAGTCCGCACACACACAAGACCGCAATTATGGCAGAAGCAAAAAAGCCCAAAATATATAATTTTCACTCCGAGTGGGAGGATGATTATTTTTGTATCTATTCCAATTCAAAGTCCATCTGTCTCATCTGCAATGCGAGCGTGGCTTTATCGAAGAAGGGTAATTTAGGAACGGCATTTCAAAACAGTGCACAAACGCTACGAGACGGAATTCCCTCCTAATTCTGCCCTACGCTCCAAAAGGGGAGGGGCCTGAAAGGACAGCTAAATGCACAGCAGTCCATTTCCACCAGGCCCAACAACAAGAGCAAGGCTGCTACCAGAGCATCTTATCGTGTCAGTCACGTTCTTGCGAAACACATGAAGTCTTTCAAAGACGGCGAAGTTGTGAAAGAAGCTTTCCTGGAGGCTGCGACGCGCTTTTTGGGGACAGTAAAAATAACAGAAGCATTTCAACAGGTTTTTGATATAATAAAAACTCAATTTAGATACCGTTATTAATCAGCTGTAAGTTTGAGTTTGTTTGAATTTATTCATTATAATTATTGTACAAAATGGTATAAGAATGCAAACATTAAGATCTGTTCTGTTTAAATTGATTATAGTCTATTATCAATTCAGGTTAAGAAGCTAGTGTTGCTTGCTTCCTATTTTAAAGGCATTTATTTTTATACTCTAATAAAATGCAACAAAAAATGGGTTTGATTAATGTTGTCTTTTTTATTGCACGTTGGCAGCAGATTCCTGTGTAGCTTCAGATCTGAGTTGTCTTATTAGTAAGCCTCATTTATACTTTTGTAGCAACACTATTTTTATATAATGGCAAAGAAAGGGTTCAGAGTCTTTTCTTTTTGTCCTGTGTCATGTGGCAGCACTGCCACAAGTTCCTCTTCAGAGAGGGTCTTCAGTACAGGTGGCAATATCGTCCCCTGCCTGCGCTCATCTCTGAAACCAGACCATGTAAACAGGCTGGTGTTTCTTGCAACAAATCTTTAAGAGATGACATGAGCAGCCCTACCAGCATTTGCCATGGTGCCAAACATTTTTATTTGGTCTTAAATTGTAGTTCAACGTTTATTTCCTGTTACTTCTGGACCATGACGGTGGGCCAGCCTTCAACGTTTAACTGAGTGGAATATGTTGAATATGTTGAACCAAAATGTTGGCTATATGTTAAGGAGTTTTCAGTAGGTTGTGACAGTGCACTGCAACATGTTTGATTTCATTTATTTTGGTCTAATTTATTTTTATTTATCATATTAATATATGTTTAGTATGGTTTTGGAAGTGCGCTCCAACATATTTGTTGATCTTGTTTATTGGTAAAATATTATTTGTTTTAAAGTTCAATAAATGGTCAATGAATAATCGTCAAAATAATCGTGATATCAATTATTGACCCAAATGATTTTTGCCATAATCGCACAGCCCTAATTTATGGTGTACATTGGAATGATCCACATTCAGGGGTGTTTCTGTATCTTCCTGCCTGTGTTCATGACATCAGCTGCTCACAACCAATGGCCCCTTGCAGGATTAATCAAGTTGTTGATTGATTGATGCACTGTGGTTTAAAGTGATGTTTGCTAACGTGTGTGTGTGTGTGTGTGTGTGTGTGTGTGTGTGTGTGTGTGTGTGTGTGTGTGTGTGTGTGTGTGTGTGTGTGTGTGTGTGTGTGTGTGTGTGTGTGTGTGTGTGTGTGTGTGTGTGTGTGTGTGTGTGTGTGTGTGTGTGTGTGTGTGTGTGTGTGTGTGTGTGTGTGTGTGTGTGTGTGTGTGTGTGTGTGTGTGTGTGTGTGTGTGTGTGTGTGTGTGTGTGTGTGTGCAGAAGCTCATCCTGCAGAAGGCCTTCAGCTCCCAGCAGCTGGTCCACATCACGGTCATCAACCTGTTCGAGCTCCATCACCTCAGAGAGCTGCCGTCTGAAGAAGGGGAGCCGAGCTGCAGCGAGCAGCCAATCAGCTGGTTCCAACTGCTGGGGCTCTTCAGTGAGAGACACACACACACACAGGGCTTCTTAACATTCAATAAACTATGAATGTGTCATACCCACTTAACGGGAAGAAACTCAGCTAACTGACGATATTAACCATTTTTAGCTAAACGAAACATAAGGGTAATAACAAACGCTCTGAATTAGCCCTGAGCGAAAAAATGCTAACACACTTAGCACAGAACTCACGGTAAAATACCCTTATTACTTATCGGATCCGCACAAATAAGATATCGATTATCAAGCTGAGATTCCACAGATTCCAGACATATAAGTATCATCACTGAGCGATCAGAACTCGCGGCAGGAGAAGCTAACCCAGACATCACACCACGTAGCTTTACGGAGCAAACACGGGACATTGTCTCACCTTTTGCTGTTTCTGATCAAAAGTCATGTTCAATGGCATCAAAACGATAGAAACGCTGCTGAAGGTTCATCCAATGTGTCTGTCACTTTGAATGATATCTGATAATCCATCTTCATATTTATGTCAATAACAGACTTTTCATATCAAGCTGCTACGATAGCTACTAGAGTGTATGACAGCTTCCTGTTTTGGGCATTCTGGCTACGCAGCACTCATTCACCAATGAGCAATGTTTAGATGGATTTTAGGAACCTCCCCTCGATTCTATTGGCTCTAAAGGTTAAAAATAGATGTCAATCATCAAAATCGACCAATGGGGGCCAGAGAAATGGAAAATGCAGCCAAATGACCCCAGAAGTGGGTTTTTTTCAAAGTTCAAATTTCACTTGTTTTGCATCAATCTTGATACAGGGTACTTATTATATGTTACATCATGACTGATTCTCACCTGTCTGACTTCCTGCCTGTCTTCCTGTCTGTCTTCCTGTCTGTCTTCCTGCCTGTCTTCCTGCCTGTCTTCCTGCCTGTCTTCCTGTCTGTCTTCCTGCCTGTCTTCCTGTCTGTCTTCCTGCCTGTCTTCCTGCCTGTCTTCCTGCCTGTCTTCCTGTCTGTCTTCCTGCCTGTCTTCCTGCCTGTCTTCCTGTCTGTCTTCCTGTCTGTCTTCCTGCCTGTCTTCCTGCCTGTCTTCCTGTCTGTCTTCCTGCCTGTCTTCCTGTCTGTCTTCCTGTCTGTCTTCCTGTCTGACTTCCTGCCTGTCTTCCTGCCTGTCTTCCTGCCTGTCTTCCTGCCTGTCTTCCTGTCTGTCTTCCTGCCTGACTTCCTGCCTGTCTTCCTGTCTGACTTCCTGTCTGACTTCCTGCCTGTCTTCCTGTCTGTCTTCCTGCCTGTCTTCCTGTCTGTCTTCCTGTCTGTCTTCCTGTCTGACTTCCTGTCTGACTTCCTGCCTGTCTTCCTGTCTGTCTTCCTGTCTGTCTTCCTGCCTGTCTTCCTGTCTGTCTTCCTGCCTGTCTGGCTTCCTGTCTGACTTCCTCCCTGTCTTCCTGCCTGTCTTCCTGTCTGACTTCCTGTCTGTCTTCCTGCCTGTCTGTCTTCCTGCCTGTCTTCCTGTCTGTCTTCCTGCCTGTCTGGCTTCCTGTCTGTCTTCCGGTCTGACTTCCTGTCTGTCTTCCTGTCTGTCTTCCTGCCTGTCTTCCTGCCTGTCTGACTTCCTGTCTGTCTTCCTGCCTGTCTTCCTGTCTGTCTTCCTGCCTGTCTGGCTTCCTGTCTGTCTTCCGGTCTGACTTCCTGCCTGTCTTCCTGTCTGACTTCCTGTCTGTCTTCCTGTCCTCCTCAGTGTCCTTCCTGGGCGTCATGTGCAGCCGAGCTCTGCTCAACAAGAGTCGTGGGGAGGAGATAATGGGCGAATGTCCTCTTCCCGCCATCAAAGTGTCTCTTGATTGGCTCAGGCTGAGACCCAGCGTCTTCCACGAGGCCGCCGTCGACCAGAGGACGCAGTGAGTTTCTGTTTAATCACCCCCTCTCTGTGTGGGAGTAGGTCTGAGACGCAAGGAAACCATGCGAAGAGAGAGGAAGCGAGAAACGGTGTTTTAAGAGCAATGTGACGTCGTTTCCTCGGAGCGTCACACTGTGTGTGTCCGTCAGGAGTCACGCTGTGTGTGTGTGTGTCCGTCAGGCGTCACGCTGTGTGTGTCGTCAGGAGTCACGCTGTGTGTGTGTGTCCGTCAGGCGTCACGCTGTGTGTGTCGTCAGGAGTCACGCTGTGTGTGTGTGTCCGTCAGGCGTCACGCTGTGTGTGTCGTCAGGAGTCACGCTGTGTGTGTGTCCGTCAGGAGTCGCGCTGTGTGTGTCCGTCAGGAGTCGCGCTGTGTGTGTCCGTCAGGAGTCGCGCTGTGTGTGTCCGTCAGGAGTCACGCTGTGTGTGTGTGTCCGTCAGGAGTCGCGCTGTGTGTGTCCGTCAGGAGTCGCGCTGTGTGTGTCTGTCAGGAGTCGCGCTGTGTGTGTCCGTCAGGAGTCGCGCTGTGTGTGTGTGTCCTGTGTGTGTGTGTCCTTGTGGAGCCTCATTGAGCTGTGAGTGTCACTCCATCACAGAGAGGGAGTGGGTGGGGAGAGGTTTGGAATTGGGCCTTACGGTGTGGCTGCTTCTTCCCCTCCGAACAGGAAGTGTAACTCCTCTTCCTCTCTCTCAGTATCTGGCCCTGGCTCGTCTCCATCCTCAACAGTTTCCAGCCCAAAGAGGACGACGTGACCTGCCCCTCAGGTACCACACACACACCTTCAAACTGCCTTAAACATGTTGTTATGTTTGTTTTCACCAAGAGGCACATTGCTGGATGATATATTCATTTAGTAGACCAATAGTCAAGAAAGCAAAACCCAACATTGTGATTAAATATATTAATAATAAATGTATATTTACATAAACCCAAGGACGCTCACACAGAAAACCAGCCACAGCGCTACGATGAATAATGAAACACAATCAGTGTCTCCCCTCCCATTGTCTCAACGGAGCCCCCCCTGAAATTCAAGGTGTTAAAAAAACAAAATTATAATTCTTTTTTTTATTTTTATTTGTGTATATATATGGCACCAAATTGCAAATAATCTATATCTACTGTCACTTTTCACATTGAACATGTGCTCCTTTATTAAATAAACTAAACGCTTTCATTTTAAGTTGTGAGTTTAGTGTTTTTGACCCTAAGAAACACTGATGCATTAATCAATAACCCCCCCCCCCGCTCAGGCAGCACCCCCCCCCGCTCAGGCAGCAACCCCCCAAAGCAGTAAACCTAGGGGAAACACTGATAATGATATGGTGGTACTGAAGGTGTGTTTGTTTCCTCCACAGTGACGCCCCTGCCGGAGGAGTTTGAGCTGCAGGGTTTCCTGGCTCTGCGTCCCGCTCTCAGGTAATACACTAATCAATCGTGTGTGTGTGTGTGTGTTACCTGGGTGTTCATGTAAGGAGTTTCCTGGGTGTGTGTGTGTGTGTGTGTGTGTGACCTGGGTGTTCAGGTGAGGAGTTTCCTGGGTGTGTGTGTGTGTGTGTGTGACCTGGGTGTTCATGTGAGGAGTTTCCTGGGTGTGTGTGTGACCTGGGTGTTCAGGTGAGGAGTTTCCTGGGTGTGTGTGTGTGTGTGACCTGAGTGTTCAGGTGAGGAGTTTCCTGGGTGTGTGTGTGTTACCTGGGTGTTCATGTGAGGAGTTTCCTGTGTGTGTGTGTGTGTGTGTGTGTGTGTGTGTGTGTGTGTGTGTGTGTGTGTGTGTGTGTGTGTGTGTGTGTGTGTGTGTGTGTGTGTGTGTGTGTGTGTGTGTGTGTGTGTGTGTGTGTGTGTGTGTGTGTGTGTGTGTGTGTGTGTGTGTGTGTGTGTGTGTGTGTGTGTGTGTGTGTGTGTGTGTGTGTGTGTGTGTGTGTGTGTGTGTGTGTGTGTGTGTGTGTGTCCTGGGTGTTCATGTGAGGAGTTTCCTGGGTGTGTGTGTGTTACCTGGTTGTTAATGTATGCTGCTGCTTCAGGTCCCTGGACTTCACTAAAGGACATCAAGGAATCCTGGTGGACCGGGACGGGCTGCCGCTGCAGACCCGCCACCAGAGGCTCATCAGCCTGGGGAAGTGGGTCGCTGACAACCAGCCGGGGTGAGAGAGACCCTCTTTATTCACACACTGATAAACAATCATAACTCAGAGTGCAGGGAGGCAGTATCTCCCTCGTCCAATGGGATTCCTCTATCTGATTTTAGATTATGTCAGAAAATAATCTCAAACGTTTATGATACTAACACCACTTTGGCCCAGCAGCACCCTATGGCACACGCAGTGAATAACACCCGATGGTGCTGTAGTTCCTTTATAGCCCAACTTTAGCCACCTTTAGCTTAGCGGTGGTGACGTGAAGTCATGTGACCGTGCTGTAGTTCCTTTATAGCCCAACATTAGCCTCCTTTAGCTTAGCGGTGGTGACGTGAAGTCATGTGACCGTGCTGTAGTTCCTTTATAGCCCAACGTTAGCCTCCTTTAGCTTAGCGGTGGTGACGTGAAGTCATGTGACCGTGCTGTAGTTCCTTTATAGCCCAACATTAGCCTCCTTTAGCTTAGCAGTGGTGACGTGAAGTCATGTGACCGTGCTGTAGTTCCTTTATAGCCCAACATTAGCCTCCTTTAGCTTAGCGGTGTGATATGAAGTCATGTGACCGTGTTGTAGTTCCTTTATAGCCCAACGTTAGCCTCCTTTATCTTAGCGGTGGTGGCGTGAAGTCATGTTACCGTGCTGTAGTTCCTTTATAGCCCAACGTTAGCCTTCTTTAGCTTAGCGGTGGTGACGTGAAGTCATGTGACCGTGCTGTAGTTCCTTTATAGCCCAACGTTAGCCTCCTTTAGCTTAGCGGTGGTGACGTGAAGTCATGTGACCGTGCTGTAGTTCCTTTATAGCCCAACATTAGCCTCCTTTAGCTTAGCGGTGGTGACGTGAAGTCATGTGACCGTGCTGTAGTTCCTTTATAGCCCAACATTAGCCTCCTTTAGCTTAGCGGTGGTGACGTGAAGTCATGTGACCGTGCTGTAGTTCCTTTATAGCCCAACGTTAGTCTCCTTTAGCTTAGCGGTGGTGACGTAAAGTCATGTGACCGTGCTGTAGTTCCTTTATAGCCCAACATTAGCCTCCTTTAGCTTAGCGGTGGTGACGTGAAGTCATGTGACCGTGCTTTAGTTCCTTTATAGCCCAACATTAGCCTCCTTTAGCTTAGCGGTGGTGACGTGAAGTCATGTGACCGTGCTGTAGTTCCTTTATAGCCCAACATTAGCCTCCTTTAGCTTAGCGGTGGTGACGTGAAGTCATGTGACCGTGCTGTAGTTCCTGTATAGCCCAACATTAGCCTCCTTTAGCTTAGCGATGGTGACGTGAAGTGATGTGACCGTGCTGTAGTTCCTTTATAGCCCAACGTTGGCCTCCTTTAGCTTAGCGGTGGTGACGTGAAGTCATGTGACCGTGTTGTAGTTCCTTTATAGCCCAACGTTAGCCTCCTTTAGCTTAGCGGTGGTGACGTGAAGTCATGTGACCGTGCTGTAGTTCCTTTATAGCCCAACATTAGCCTCATTTAGCTTAGCGGTGGTGACGTGAAGTCATGTGACCGTGCTGTAGTTCCTGTATAGCCCAACATTAGCCTCCTTTAGCTTAGCGATGGTGACGTGAAGTCATGTGACCGTGCTGTAGTTCCTTTATAGCCCAACGTTGGCCTCCTTTAGCTTAGCGGTGGTGACGTGAAGTCATGTGACCGTGCTGTAGTTCCTTTATAGCCCAACGTTAGCCTCCTTTAGCTTAGCGGTGGTGACGTGAAGTCATGTGACCGTGCTGTAGTTCCTTTATAGCCCAACGTTAGCCTCCTTTAGCTTAGCGGTGGTGACGTGAAGTCATGTGACCGTGCTGTAGTTCCTTTATAGCCCAACGTTAGCCTCTTTTAGCGTAGCGGTGGTGACGTGAAGTCATGTGACCGTGCTGTAGTTCCTTTATAGACTGAATAACACCCAATGGTGACCGCTTAAAGCCTGATGACATTGCATTAAACTTGCCTCCTCTCTGCAGTTTGATCCAGTGCAGCGTGAGTGAAGATGGTCTCCTCCTCTTCATCACCGATATCCCCGAGCAGGCCATCGAGGAGCCGCTGGAGAAAGAGAAGGAGGTGCCGGTTCTTCAGGAGTCGTCTAACGCCGAGCAGCAGCCAAACGACGGGTCAGGGAACTCCGGTTTGAAGTCTGTGCTCTCAGCGGGGAAGACGCAGAGCTCGTGGCCTGACGGCGGAGAACGGCCCGTCGTCACCTTCAAGGAAAACATCAAACCCCGAGAGCCGAGTCGCAGTCAGCAGCTGAAGGACAGCGGGAAGGAGAGGCGAGACTTCAACAAGGGGAACGGGGCTGCTGCTGGGAAAACAGAGCCCAAGAGAGAGAGAGACGGCAAGAGGAAGAGCGAGATGAAGAAAGCCCCGCACGAGAAAACAGCCGACGCCGGGAAACAGGTGCTCACACTCTTACATTAAGTCTTACACTACCTTTCACAAGTTAGGGAGGTTCCAACACGTCCTGGAAACCTTCAGGGGATACGAGTAAACGCAGAAAGGAAATATCAAGAGCAACATTGAGGATTCACTTTTGGTTTAAAGGTCTCCTATCACTTTTTTGTGTCCCCGGTGTGTCACTGTGTGTCCCCCATGTGTCCCCGGTGTGTCACCGTGTGTCCCCGGTGTGTCCCCGTGTGTCACCGTGTCCCCCCGGTGTGTCACCATGTGTCCCCGGTGTGTCACCATGTGTGTCACCGTGTGTCCCCGGTATGTCACCATGTGTCACCATGTGTCGCCGGTGTGTCACCGTGTGTCCCCGGGGTATCACCGGTATGTCACCATGTGTCACGGTGTGTCCCCGGTGTGTCACCATGTGTCCCGGTATGTCCCCGGTGTGTCACCATGTGTCCCCGGTGTGTCACCATGTGTCCCCGGTGTGTCCCCGGTGTGTCACCATGTGTCCCCGGTGTGTCACCATGTGTCCCCGGTGTGTCACCATGTGTCCCCGGTGTGTCACCATGTGTCCCCGGTATGTCCCCGGTGTGTCACCATGTGTCCCCGGTATGTCCCCGGTGTGTCACCATGTGTCCCCGGTATGTCCCCGGTGTGTCACCATGTGTCCCCGGTGTGTCCCCGGTGTGTCACCATGTGTCCCCGGTGTGTCACCATGTGTCCCCGGTGTGTCACCATGTGTCCCCGGTATGTCCCCGGTGTGTCACCATGTGTCCCCGGTATGTCCCCGGTGTGTCACCATGTGTCACCGTGTCCCCCCGGTGTGTCACCGTGTCCCCCCGGTGTGTCACCATGTGTCCCCGGTGTGTCACCATGTGTCCCCGGTGTGTCACCATGTGTCCCCGGTGTGTCACCATGTGTCCCCGGTATGTCCCCGGTGTGTCACCATGTGTCCCCGGTGTGTCCCCGGTGTGTCCCCGTGTGTCACCGTGTCCCCCCGGTGTGTCACCATGTGTCCCCGGTGTGTCACCATGTGTGTCACCGTTTGTCCCCGGTATGTCACCATGTGTCACCATGTGTCCCCGGTGTGTCACCGTGTGTCCCCGGGGTATCACCGGTATGTCACCATGTGTCACGGTGTGTCCCCGGTGTGTCACCATGTGTCCCGGTATGTCCCCGGTGTGTCACCATGTGTCCCCGGTGTGTCACCATGTGTCCCCGGTGTGTCCCCGGTGTGTCACCATGTGTCCCCGGTGTGTCACCATGTGTCCCCGGTGTGTCACCATGTGTCCCCGGTGTGTCACCATGTGTCCCCGGTGTGTCACCATGTGTCCCCGGTGTGTCCACCATGTGTCCCCGGTGTGTCCCCGGTGTGTCACCATGTGTCCCCGGTATGTCCCCGGTGTGTCACCATGTGTCCCCGGTATGTCCCCGGTGTGTCACCATGTGTCCCCGGTGTGTCCCCGGTGTGTCACCATGTGTCCCCGTGTGTCCCCGGTATGTCCCCGGTGTGTCACCATGTGTCCCCGGTGTGTCCCCGGTGTGTCACCATGTGTCCCCGGTGTGTCACCATGTGTCCCCCGGTATGTCCCCGGTGTGTCACCATGTGTCCCCGGTATGTCCCCGGTGTGTCACCATGTGTCACCGTGTCCCCCCGGTGTGTCACCATGTGTCCCCGGTGTGTCACCATGTGTCCCCGGTGTGTCACCATGTGTCCCCGGTGTGTCCCCGGTGTGTCACCATGTGTCCCCGGTATGTCACCATGTGTCCCCGGTGTGTCCCCGGTGTGTCACCATGTGTCCCCGGTATGTCCCCGGTGTGTCACCATGTGTCCCCGGTATGTCCCCGGTGTGTCACCATGTGTCTCCGGTGTGTCACCATGTGTCCCTGGTGTGTCCCTGTGTCTCCCCGTGTGTCAGGAGACTCTCAAAGAGTCAGAAATAAACCCTCTCTCTTTTCCTCCGTACCCACATCTCTAAAAACGGGGAACAACGGAGCTGATCCAGATTTGCATGACGACATTACTAAAATGTGGGCGGGCTTTAAACCCACGGGCCAATCATAAACGTTGCTCTCAGAAACTCCTGCAGGAAACAACATATTTTAAGTCCCTCCTTTTTTACATTTTGTGAAAAGAAGGCAAATTGTTGAGTATAAAGTTGACATTTGGAAAATAAATGTTAAAGTAAAAATGTAGAACATTTTGAGAATTAAGTCAAAATTAAGAAAGTCCCAAGAAAAAAGTTAGAAAGTCGAGATTTTGAGAAAAAAGTCAGAATTTTGAGAAAAGACTACGAATTTTGAGATTTTATTATTTATATTTTGAGACAAATAAGATGTTTTGTGCATTCCTCCTGTGATTTACTCTGTATGTTTAACTATATATCAGAAACGTTGCTGTCAGAAACAATGAGACGTGTTCTGGAAGTAATATGGTCTGTGTTTACATTAGCATGCTAACACTCAGAGCTAACCTGTACTGGAGAGAGTGTGTGTGAAGAAGCAGGAAATCAAAAGGAAGTCACCTTGTGGTAAACCTGAGAGAGAGAAAGAGTTTGAGCTCCATCCTGTTTCAGAGAGAATCCTTGATGTGGTTTGGAACATGATGTGGAGTTTCATCACGGCAGCATTTAGCTGAGTTATGAGTGTACCTCTGCCTGTCCTCTAGCTGTCCTCTAACTGTCCTCTGCCTGTCCTCTAACTGTCCTCTGCCTGTCCTCTAACTGTCCTCTAACTGTCCTCTAACTGTCCTCTGCCTGTCCTCTGCCTGTCCTCTAACTGTCCTCTAACTGTCCTCTAGCTGTCCTCTAACTGTCCTCTGCCTGTCCTCTAACTGTCCTCTGCCTGTCCTCTAACTGTCCTCTGCCTGTCCTCTAACTGTCCTCTGCCTGTCCTCTGCCTGTCCTCTAACTGTCTTCTGCCTGTCCCCTGCCTGTCCTCTAACTGTCCTCTGCCTGTCCTCTGCCTATCCTCTAACTGTCCTCTGCCTGTCCTCTAACTGTCCTCTGCCTGTCCTCTAACTGTCCTCTGCCTGTCCTCTGCCTGTCCTCTAACTGTCTTCTGCCTGTCCCCTGCCTGTCCTCTAACTGTCCTCTGCCTGTCCTCTGCCTATCCTCTAACTGTCCTCTGCCTGTCCCCTGCCTGTCCTCTAACTGTCTTCTGCCTGTCCTCTGCCTGTCCTCTAACTGTCCTCTGCCTGTCCTCTAACTGTCCTCTGCCTGTCCTCTGCCTGTCCTCTAACTGTCCTCTGCCTGTCCTCTAACTGTCCTCTGCCTGTCCTCTAACTGTCCTCTGCCTGTCCTTTAACTGTCCTCTGCCTGTCCTCTGCCTATCCTCTAACTGTCCTCTGCCTGTCCTCTAACTGTCCTCTAACTGTCCTCTGCCTGTCCTCTAACTGTCCTCTAACTGTCCTCTGCCTGTCCTCTAACTGTCCTCTAACTGTCCTCTAACTGTCCTCTAACTGTCCTCTGCCTGTCCTCTAACTGTCCTCTAACTGTCCTCTGCCTATCCTCTAACTGTCCTCTGCCTGTCCTCTAACTGTCCTCTAACTGTCCTCTGCCTGTCCTCTAACTGTCTCACTGTCCTAACTGTCCTCTAACTGTCCTCTAACTCTTGCCTGTCCTCTAACTGTCCTGTCCTCTGCCTGTCCTCTAACTGTCCTCTAACTGTCCTCTGCCTGTCCTCTAACTGTCCTCTGCCTGTCCTCTAACTGTCCTCTGCCTGTCCTCTAACTGTCCTCTAACTGTCCTCTGCCTGTCCTCTAACTGTCCTCTAACTGTCCTCTGCCTGTCCTCTAACTGTCCTCTAACTGTCCTCTGCCTGTCCTCTAACTGTCCTCTAACTGTCCTCTGCACTGCTGCTGCTCTAACTGTTGTGATTTCTGTCGGCCATGTTTTCAGGTGAAGGCTCAGACAGAGCTGAGGAAGACTCCAGTGTCCGAGGCCAAGAAGACACCTGTCACTCAAACTCAGACCCAGACCCAGACTCAGTTCATCCCCATCCACCATCCAGGAGCCTTTCCCCCCCTACCCAGCAGACCTGGTACACACACACACACACACACACACACACACACACTGTCTCACACACACACACACACACACACACACACACACACACACACACACACACACACAGTGACCTAATTGTAATACACGTGTTAAAGGATGTTGAATATAACCGTAATAGTACCAACATTAACACTCCTCTCCCCTGCAGGTTTCCCCCCCTCTGCCTATGTGATCCCCCCCCCGGTGGGCTTCCCTGGTCTGCAGGTGAACCCCGGCTTCACCTTCTCCTCCGGGGTCTCCGTGCCCCCCTTCCTGCAGGCGGGGGTGCTCAGCCAGCAGGGGGTCCAGGGGGGTGGGAAGCCGTCTCACATCCCCTACAGCCAGCAGAGACCCTCAGGACCCCCTCAGGGACCAGGAGCCTCGGGGGGGCAACAGCAGCTGCAGGTCCAGGCCATGAACCAGAACCACCAGCAGCAGCAGAGCCCCACCAAACCAGGGGGGCAGCAGATGGGGAAGAGCCCCCCCCACCACCCAGGGCTGCAGCAGGTCAGTGAGATCAGTCATACAGTGAAGCACATTAAGTGCAGTTCAATGTCTGCGTCTCAACAGTGTGTGTGTGTGTGTGTGTGTGTGTGTGTGTGTGTGTGTGTGTGTGCTGTGTGTGTGTGTGTGTGTGTGTGTGTGTGTGTGTGTGTGTGTGTGTGTGTGTGTGTGTGTGTGTGTGTGTGTGTGTGTGATGTGTGTGTGTGTGTGTGTGTGTGGTGTGTGTGTGTGTGTGTGTGTGTGTGTGTGTGTGTGTGTGTGTGTGTGTGTGTGTGTGTGGTGTGTGTGTGTGTGTGTGTGTGTGTGTGTGTGTGTGTGTGTGTGTGTGTGTGTGTGTGTGTGTGTGTGTGTGTGTGTGTGTGTGTGTGTGTGTGTGTGTGTGTGTGTGTGTGTGTGTGTGTGTGTGTGTGTGTGTGTGTGTGTGTGTGCAGTACATGCAGGAGCAGCCGGCTCAGATGTGGTCTCAGGCCCAGGCGGCGCTCCAGAATCTGTCTCCGATGCAGATGTCCATGAAGCAGCAGCCGCCCCCCCCAGCAGGGCTTCTACATGACCCCCGACCCCCTGAAGATGTACGAGCACCAGCTGCAGTCCCCCGCCTCCATGGACAAGAAGATGAAGTTCCCCAGCGTGAAGATGCAGGACTTCTACTGGGAGCCGTCCTACAGGATGGGAGAGGGGCTGGCAGTGATGGCCGACCGCATGAAGAGGGCCCCGCCGGGGGGGATGTGCTCCGAGCAGGAGGGCCAACAGGGGCCCCGCGGACCCCCGTTTGAGGTGAGTCCGTCTCCTCTATAGAGCGGTGCAGTGATGAGTCAGCATTTCTCCACTTCCTGTTCCCTGGTCTCAGAGCCAATGGGATCTCTCCATAGGAGTTAGGAAAGTATCTGAACTAAGGTCTGAGGTTGAGACACATTGAAGAGACGGATCACGTTTTGTTCTAGGACATTAAATCATCAGCAGTGACCCCTCTGGTGATTTCTGAAGAGTGGACGTGTCTGAGAAACGGTGGTTGTTACCAAGTGGCTGAACAGGACTACAGAAGTCGTGGAGGCCGTTGTACGTCATTACGCCGAACACGTGAACACTCCTCTGAGTTAGTTTCTGTTCTGCTTGAGAGCAAGTCCCTGCCTCCTGCAGACTGTTCAAACAAACGCTTCAACTCGTTCCATCTAGAGTCTGTGTGTTTGAATCTGGATCTGAAGTTGGCGTGACGTTGAAGTCGTGCTGCTGGACTCGCCTGTAGCTCCTTTATAGCAGGGGGGTCAAACTCAATTTCATCACGGCCACATCAGCATTATGGTGGCACTCAAAGAGCCGGTTGTAATTTTAAGAATATATAAAAATACATATATATATATATAATATATATAAAATAATGTATTCTATTACATCATTGCCTCTGCATTGGATTATTATCTGATAGGGTAATCACTTCATAATTAAGTTTGTCTGAAAGCAGAAGTCTGGGGCAAATCATTGCAAGTCTCTTCAGAACGCCACAAAATGATTTAAAAAGAAAAGCCACATTCTGGAAAACAAAATAAAGTGACATTTTGAGAAAAAAGTCAAATTCTGAGAAAAAAGTCAAATTTGAGGTGCATTGTGGGACATGTAGTTTATGGGCAACGTGCTTCTGTAAAGTAGCATGTAACCATATAATAAACATATTATATTTTTTGCAAGCTCTTGTGGGGCCGCATGAAGTGAAGTCGCGGGCCGGATTTGGCCCCCGGGCCTTGAGTTTGACACCCCTGCTTTATAGCATCACGTTAGCATTAGGGCTGAACGATTAATCGATTTTAAATCGAAATCGCGATTTGAAATGATGCGATTACGAAATCGCAAAGCCTGCGATCATTTATTTTTTTTACCATTTATTTTTTTTCCTTCTTGTGTGTCAGTCATCCACACCAATCAGAAGTGCTGTGCTCCACATGTACCAGCCATTGTTAACCAATCAGTAGTGCTGTGCTCCACATGTACCAGCCATTGTTAACCAATCAGAAGTGCTGTTCTCCACATGTACCAGCCATTGTTAACCAATCAGAAGTGCTGTTCTCCACATGTACCAGCCATTGTTAACCAATCAGAAGTGCTGTGCTCCACATGTACCAGCCATTGTTAACCAATCAGAAGTGCTGTGCTCCACATGTACCAGCCATTGTTAACCAATCAGAAGTGCTGTTCTCCACATGTACCAGCCATTGTTAACCAATCAGAAGTGCTGTGCTCCACATGTACCAGCCATTGTTAACCAATCAGAAGTGCTGTTCTCCACATGTACCAGCCATTGTTAACCAATCAGAAGTGCTGTGCTCCACATGTACCAGCCATTGTTAACCAATCAGAAGTGCTGTGCTCCACATGTACCAGCCATTGTTAACCAATCAGAAGTGCTGTGCTCCACATGTACCCGCCATTGTTAACCAATCAGAAGTGCTGTGCTCCACATGTACCAGCCATTGTTAACCAATCAGTAGTGCTGTGCTCCACATGTACCAGCCATTGCTAACCAATCAGAAGTGCTGTGCTCCACATGTACCCGCCATTGTTAACCAATCAGAAGTGCTGTGCTCCACATGTACCAGCCATTGTTAACCAATCAGTAGTGCTGTGCTCCACATGTACCAGCCATTGTTAACCAATCAGAAGTGCTGTGCTCCACATGTACCAGCCATTGTTAACCAATCAGAAGTGCTGTGCTCCACATGTACCAGCCATTGTTAACCAATCAGAAGTGCTGTGCTCCACATGTACCAGCCATTGTTAACCAATCAGAAGTGCTGTGCTCCACATGTACCAGCCATTGTTAACCAATCAGAAGTGCTGTGCTCCACATGTACCAGCCATTGTTAACCAATCAGTAGTGCTGTGCTCCACATGTACCAGCCATTGTTAACCAATCAGTAGTGCTGTGTTCCACATGTACCAGCCATTGTTAACCAATCAGAAGTGCTGTGCTCCACATGTACCAGCCATTGTTAACCAATCAGAGTGCTGTGCTCCACATGTACCAGCCATTGTTAACCAATCAGAAGTGCTGTGCTCCACATGTACCAGCCATTGTTAACCAATCAGAAGTGCTGTGCTCCACATGTACCAGCCATTGTTAACCAATCAGATGTGCTGTGCTCCACATGTACCAGCCATTGTTAACCAATCAGTAGTGCTGTGCTCCACATGTACCAGCCATTGTTAACCAATGAGTAGTGCTGTGCTCCACATGTACCAGCCATTGTTAACCAATCAGAAGTGCTGTGCTCCACATGTACCAGCCATTGTTAACCAATCAGAAGTGCTGTTCTCCACATGTACCAGCCATTGTTAACCAATCAGTAGTGCTGTGCTCCACATGTACCAGCCATTGTTAACCAATCAGAAGTGCTGTGCTCCACATGTACCAGCCATTGTTAACCAATCAGAAGTGCTGTGCTCCACATGTACCAGCCATTGTTAACCAATCAGAAGTGCTGTGCTCCACATGTACCAGCCATTGTTAACCAATCAGTAGTGCTGTGCTCCACATGTACCAGCCATTGTTAACCAATCAGAAGTGCTGTGCTCCACATGTACCAGCCATTGCTAACCAATCAGTAGTGCTGTGCTCCACATGTACCAGCCATTGTTAACCAATCAGTAGTGCTGTGCTCCACATGTACCAGCCATTGTTAACCAATCAGAAGTGCTGTGCTCCACATGTACCAGCCATTGCTAACCAATCAGTAGTGCTGTGCTCCACATGTACCAGCCATTGTTAACCAATCAGAAGTGCTGTGCTCCACATGTACCAGCCATTGTTAACCAATCAGTAGTGCTGTGCTCCACATGTACCAGCCATTGTTAACCAATCAGAAGTGCTGTGCTCCACATGTACCAGCCATTGTTAACCAATCAGAAGTGCTGTGCTCCACATGTACCAGCCATTGTTAACCAATCAGTAGTGCTGTGCTCCACATGTACCAGCCATTGTTAACCAATCAGTAGTGCTGTGCTCCACATGTACCAGCCATTGTTAACCAATCAGAAGTGCTGTGCTCCACATGCACCAGCCATTGTTAACCAATCAGAGTGCTGTGCTCCACATGTACCAGCCATTGTTAACCAATCAGAAGTGCTGTGCTCCACATGTACCAGCCATTGTTAACCAATCAGAAGTGCTGTGCTCCACATGTACCAGCCATTGTTAACCAATCAGAAGTGCTGTGCTCCACATGTACCAGCCATTGTTAACCAATCAGAAGTGCTGTGCTCCACATGTACCAGCCATTGTTAACCAATCAGAAGTGCTGTGCTCCACATGTACCAGCCATTGTTAACCAATCAGTAGTGCTGTGCTCCACATGTACCAGCCATTGTTAACCAATCAGAAGTGCTGTGCTCCACATGTACCAGCCATTGTTAACCAATCAGAGTGCTGTGCTCCACATGTACTAGCCATTGTTAACCAATCAGAGTGCTGTGCTCCACATGTACCAGCCATTGTTAACCAATCAGAGTGCTGTGCTCCACATGTACCAGCCATTGTTAACCAATCAGAAGTGCTGTGCTCCACATGTACCAGCCATTGTTAACCAATCAGAGTGCTGTGCTCCACATGTACCAGCCATTGTTAACCAATCAGAGTGCTGTGCTCCACATGTACCAGCCAGGGTTTCCGCTAGGATTTTTTCTCGCCGGTCAAATGTCCGGGCAGAATTTATTTTATCGGACACATTTGAAAATTACCGGTCATATTTCAATAATAATAGTAAGAGTTGTGTAGCAGAGTTTCCGTTAGCAGGTAATTACCGGACTATGAGCAGATATGCTTCAGTTTAAAACTCAGTTCACGGGGCTCATTTTTATATTGCTTCAGTTTATAATCGTAACAGATCGAAACAATTCAGATCAATTTTTCAATAAATTATTCCACAAACAACAAACAACATAATTATTACATTCAAACAAACTACTTGTAGTAGATAACGTACATTATTCAAAAGTTTACATTAACTTTGAATAATAACACGGGAGAAACGGATCATCTCTTTTCCCCTCTCCCTCCCTCTCTCTCCTGACAGCCCGTCAGTTTCTCATGCAGCTCCTGCAGCTCGCTAAACAGAGGGCGGGGCTTCAGGTGATTATGCAGAGCTGCGTGTCTCGGTCTGACTCAGCAGCTGATCTGATCTCTCTCGCGTGTCCGGTTATACTTCACTCGCGTTTATGTCCATATCGATCAGATCCAGCTCTCCTGATCGGCCTTTATAGAGAGCACCGATCAAACTATTAAGAGTGAATATCGGCCGATAATGACCGGCGGCCGATCTATCGGAGCCTCCCTAATTATTACCAGACATTTTGACCGGCAGGTTTTGAATATACCGGTTTTTAATACATTTTACCAGCTAAAAACCGGTAATTACCGGCTAACGGAAACCCTGGTACCAGCCATTGTTAACCAATCAGAAGTGCTGTGCTCCACATGTACCAGCCATTGTTAACCAATCAGAAGTGCTGTGCTCCACATGTACCAGCCATTGTTAACCAATCAGAAGTGCTGTGCTCCACATGTACCAGCCATTGTTAACCAATCAGAAGTGCTGTGCTCCACATGCACCAGCCATTGTTAACCAATCAGTAGTGCTGTGCTCCACATGTACCAGCCATTGTTAACCAATCAGAAGTGCTGTGCTCCACATGCACCAGCCATTGTTAACCAATCAGTAGTGCTGTGCTCCACATGTACCAGCCATTGTTAACCAATCAGAAGTGCTGTGCTCCACATGTACCAGCCATTGTTAACCAATCAGAAGTGCTGTGCTCCACATGTACCAGCCATTGGTAACCAATCAGTAGTGCTGTGCTCCACATGTACCAGCCATTGTTAACCAATCAGAAGTGCTGTGCTCCACATGTACCAGCCATTGGTAACCAATCAGAAGTGCTGTGCTCCACATGTACCAGCCATTGTTAACCAATCAGAGTGCTGTGCTCTACATGTACCAGCCATTGTTAACCAATCAGAAGTGCTGTGCTCCACATGTACCAGCCATTGTTAACCAATCAGAAGTGCTGTGCTCCACATGTACCAGCCATTGTTAACCAATCAGAAGTGCTGTGCTCCACATGTACCAGCCATTGTTAACCAATCAGAAGTGCTGTGCTCCACATGTACCAGCCATTGTTAACCAATCAGAAGTGCTGTGCTCCACATGTACCAGCCATTGTTAACCAATCAGAAGTGCTGTGCTCCACATGTACCAGCCATTGTTAACCAATCAGAAGTGCTGTGCTCCACATGTACCAGCCATTGTTAACCAATCAGAAGTGCTGTGCTCTACATGTACCAGCCATTGTTAACCAATCAGTAGTGCTGTGCTCCACATGTACCAGCCATTGTTAACCAATCAGAAGTGCTGTGCTCCACATGTACCAGCCATTGTTAACCAATCAGAAGTGCTGTGCTCCACATGTACCAGCCATTGTTAACCAATCAGAAGTGCTGTTCTCCACATGTACCAGCCATTGTTAACCAATCAGTAGTGCTGTGCTCCACATGTACCAGCCATTGTTAACCAATCAGAAGTGCTGTGCTCCACATGTACCAGCCATTGTTAACCCAATCAGAAGTGCTGTGCTCCACATGTACCAGCCATTGTTAACCAATCAGAAGTGCTGTGCTCCACATGTACCAGCCATTGTTAACCAATCAGAAGTGCTGTGCTCCACATGTACCAGCCATTGTTAACCAATCAGAAGTGCTGTTCTCCACATGTACCAGCCATTGTTAACCAATCAGAAGTGCTGTGCTCCACATGTACCAGCCATTGTTAACCAATCAAAAGTGCTGTGCTCCACATGTACCAGCCATTGTTAACCAATCAGAGTGCTGTGCTCCACATGTACCAGCCATTGTTAACCAATCAGAAGTGCTGTGCTCCACATGTACCAGCCATTGTTAACCAATCAGAAGTGCTGTGCTCCACATGTACCAGCCATTGTTAACCAATCAGAAGTGCTGTGCTCTACATGTACCAGCCATTGTTAACCAATCAGAAGTGCTGTGCTCCACATGTACCAGCCATTGTTAACCAATCAGAAGTGCTGTGCTCCACATGTACCAGCCATTGTTAACCAATCAGAGTGCTGTGCTCCACATGTCCCAGCCATTGTTAACCAATCAGAAGTGCTGTGCTCTACATGTACCAGCCATTGTTAACCAATCAGAGTGCTGTGCTCCACATGTACCAGCCATTGTTAACCAATCAGAAGTGCTGTGCTCCACATGTACCAGCCATTGTTAACCAATCAGAAGTGCTGTGCTCCACATGTACCAGCCATTGTTAACCAATCAGAAGTGCTGTGCTCCACATGTACCAGCCATTGTTAACCAATCAGAAGTGCTGTGCTCCACATGTACCAGCCATTGTTAACCAATCAGTAGTGCTGTGCTCCACATGTACCAGCCATTGTTAACCAATCAGAAGTGCTGTGCTCCACATGTACCAGCCATTGTTAACCAATCAGAGTGCTGTGCTCCACATGTACCAGCCATTGTTAACCAATCAGAGTGCTGTGCTCCACATGTACCAGCCAGGGTTTCCGCTAGGATTTTTTCTCGCCGGTCAAATGTCCGGGCAGAATTTATTTTACCGGACACATTTGAAAATTACCGGTCATATTTCAATAATAATAGTAAGAGTTGTGTAGCAGAGTTTCCGTTAGCAGGTAATTACCGGACTATGAGCAGATATGCTTCAGTTTAAAACTCAGTTCACGGGGCTCATTTTTATATTGCTTCAGTTTATAATCGTAACAGATCGAAACAATTCAGATCAATTTTTCAATAAATTATTCCACAAACAACAAACAACATAATTATTACATTCAAACAAACTACTTGTAGTAGATAACGTACATTATTCAAAGTTTACATTAACTTTGAATAATAACACGGGAGAAACGGATCATCTCTTTTCCCCTCTCCCTCCCTCTCTCTCCTGACAGCCCGTCAGTTTCTCATGCAGCTCACTAAACAGTGGGCGGGGCTTCAGGTGATTATGCAGAGCTGCGTGTCTCGGTCTGACTCAGCAGCTGATCTGATCTCTCTCGCGTGTCCGGTTACACTTCACTCGCGTTTATGTCCATATCGATCAGATCCAGCTCTCCTGATCGGGCTTTATAGAGAGCACCGATCAAACTATTAAGAGTGAATATCGGCCGATAATGACCGGCGGCCGATCTATCGGAGCCTCCCTAATTATTACCAGACATTTTGACCGGCAGGTTTTGAATATACCGGTTTTTAATACATTTTACCAGCTAAAAACCGGTAATTACCGGCTAACGGAAACCCTGGTACCAGCCATTGTTAACCAATCAGAAGTGCTGTGCTCCACATGTACCAGCCATTGTTAACCAATGAGTAGTGCTGTGCTCCACATGTACCAGCCATTGTTAACCAATCAGAAGTGCTGTGCTCCACATGTACCAGCCATTGTTAACCAATCAGAAGTGCTGTGCTCCACATGTACCAGCCATTGTTAACCAATCAGAAGTGCTGTGCTCCACATGTACCAGCCATTGTTAACCAATCAGTAGTGCTGTGCTCCACATGTACCAGCCATTGTTAACCAATCAGAAGTGCTGTGCTCCACATGTACCAGCCATTGTTAACCAATCAGAAGTGCTGTGCTCCACATGTACCAGCCATTGTTAACCAATCAGTAGTGCTGTGCTCCACATGTACCAGCCATTGTTAACCAATCAGAGTGCTGTGCTCCACATGTACCAGCCATTGTTAACCAATCAGAAGTGCTGTGCTCCACATGTACCAGCCATTGTTAACCAATCAGAAGTGCTGTGCTCCACATGTACCAGCCATTGTTAACCAATCAGAAGTAGCCCATGATAGAAGGTGATAGACAGATTGATCCAATCACCTGCCAAGTGCTTCTGAAAGTGCCTGCTCTTTCCAAATGGCTTCCAATGGAGCTTTAGATATTTGGTGAAACCAACCATCTGAGTCAGGTTAGCAATGCTCCATCACATGTTTCTATTACAGGGTGAATCTTAAACTGAAGCTCGACTTTAAAGCAACCCAACGGAAGTTTCATGTAAAATTATTTTTTTCACTCGTAGCTCGGCTGCGGGGTGCTAGAGACGGGAGCACGTTGATACGACCTTCCTATCCGGAGATTTGGCAGCATTTTACAATAAACTTCCGTTGGGATGCTTAAAACAAATATCGCAAATCGCAATATTTGTCAGAAAAATCGCAATTAGATTTTTTCCCAAAATCGTGCAGCCCTAGTTAGCATTTAGCTTCTGGACATTAGATCTATGATCCAACATTATAAAAGTAGACATGTGGAGATTATCCGGCTGAACAAAACATTTATCAAACAGCTTCGTTTTCCACAGATCTTATTTTTTACTATATTCCTAAATGCTCTGGAGAATCCTCGTTGGCTCTGAGTCGAGGGAACCAGCCGCTTCCTTCAGGGGGACTACACACGTCATCACTGCTCCGCTCTGTTGCCCCTTTCCCACCAAACCGGGTCCACGGCCAGCTGGGAGCTCGTGCCCGATTTAAGAACCAGTTCCACCTGCTGGCCTTACTTTCAATAAGCGCCTGTTCGCTGTTATCTCTACTTATGAAGAGCCGCATACGTTTTGAAGAGTTTTCCTGTTGTTTTGATTTGAGCAGTGATCAGGTGGGGTCGACACAGGTTGCCATGTCAGACTATAACAAGTAGAATCATAAAACACGGCAGAGAGATGAAGCAGAAACGCATGGAGCTGGTTTGGTGGGAAAGAGGTAACGTCTTCTCTCCTGGCTTTTAGAAACATTTCCTTCTTTCCACCTCGGTCTTACGGCTTGCTTTCTTCCTCTGTGCTTTTCCCTCTTCTTCACTTTGATCTCCTTCCTCTTCTTCCTCCTCTTCCTCTCAGCAGGACCACAAGAGTTCTCCTCTTCCTCTTCCTGACCTGTTCAAAACTCTAGCAGATTTTGAGGAGGAGGAAGAGCTGGCGTTCTCTAAGCCTCCTGATTTCTTCCAGGCGTTGGCCGGTCCTCTTAGCTCTGCGCCTGGACCCAACATATTTGTATGTAGCCCCCCCCCCCCATCTCATTCAGCCCCATCTGAAACCAGCTCATTCAGACACTTGTTAGTAACCAGTGGGGTATTTACTGACGTAGAACAATAAAGTCTCTTCAGCTCGTCTTCACCACAGACCTCATTTCAGGGTAACCACAAACATGTCAGGGTTTAGGACTCATAGTGCTGAGTCTCTCCATACACAGATCCTGCTCAGCTCTCGAGTATGTGTGTGTGTTATTAATGTGTATGTGTTGTTAATGTATGTGTTTGTCCTTCGTCTCTGCAGCTGCCCAATCAGAGCCGGATGGAGAGCGGCCCCGAGGTCGTCGGCCAATCATCTTCTCTGCTGCCTATGTCTGGGTTCCCCATGCAGGTCAGATTAACACACACACACAATAACACACTCACATACAATACACACACACATTAACACACTCACATACACACAGACTCTCATACACACACACAATACCATACAAACATACACACTCACACACACACACAAAAACACACTCACATACAAACACACACACACACACTTTTTCCAGTGATGTAATAATAATGTGGGGTTATATAAAGCAGCTGTTGTGTGACCCTGTGTGCAGGAGTACAACCAGAACAGCATCTTCAGTCAGGCGTACGGGAAGAGCCTGCCTCCCAGCTCCAAGCCCGAAGCTCCCATGATGCACCAGGAGCCGTCGCTCTACTCCCTGTTCGAGGGCACGCCCTGGTCCCCCTCCCTCCCCGCCAGCTCAGGTGCGTCAGAAAGTCAGAACACTTTGAATCAGCAAGTGATGTCACAGGGTGTCTGATGTTGTTGTTTTTGTTGTTGTTGACAGATCACTCCACCCCAGCCAGCCAGTCCCCCCACTCCTCTAACCCCAGCAGCCTGCCCTCCTCCCCCCCCACCCACAACCACGGAGCCATGCCCTTCTCTAACTTCGGGCCCATCGGCACTCCGGACAGCCGGGACCGCAGGGTGGTGGACCGCTGGAAGGCCGACAAGACCGGTGAGGGGGGGGTCCGGGTTCTGGGGTTACAGGATCCAAGGTTCAGGGGGTCTAAGGTTTAGGGGTTACAGGGTCTAAGGTTCAGGCAAGGTTCAGGGGTTACAGGGTCTAAGGTTCAGGGGCTACAGAGTCCAAGGTTCAGGGGTTGCCGGGTCCAAGGTTCAGGGGTTACAGGGTTACAGGCTCCAGGGTTTACGGGGTCCAGGGGTTACAGGGTCCGGGGTTACAGGGTCCGGGGTTACAGGCTCCAAGGTTCAGGGTTTACAGGGTCCGGGGTTCAGGGGTTAATGGGTCCGGGGTTAATGGGTCCAGGGGTTACAGGGTCCAGGGGTTACAGGTTACAGGGTCCGGGTTCAGGGGTTACAGGGTCCAATGTTCAGGGGTTACAGGTTCCAAGGGTTACAGGTTACAGGGTCCGGGTTCAGGGGTTACAGGGTCCAATGTTCAGGGGTTACAGGGTCCAATGTTCAGGGGTTACAGGGTCCAAGGTTCAGGGCGTTACAGGTTCCAAGGGTTACAGGGTCCGGGTTCAGGGGTTACAGGGTCCAATGTTCAGGGGTTACAGGGTCCAAGGTTCAGGGCGTTACAGGTTCCAAGGGTTACAGGGTCCGGGTTCAGGGGTTACAGGGTCCAATGTTCAGGGGTTACAGGGTCCAAGGTTCAGGGCGTTACAGGTTCCAAGGATTACAGGGTCCGGGTTCAGGGGTTACAGGGTCCAATGTTCAGGGGTTACAGGTTCCAAGGGTTACAGGGTCCAAGGGTTACAGGGTCCAAGGTTCAGGGGTTACAGAGTCCAGGGGTTACAGGGTCCAAGGGTTACAGGGTCCAAGGTTCAGGGGTTACAGAGTCCAGGGGTTACAGGTTACAGGGTCCGGGTTCAGGGGTTACAGGGTCCAATGTTCAGGGGTTACAGGTTCCAAGGGTTACAGGGTCCGGGTTCAGGGGTTACAGGGTCCAATGTTCAGGGGTTACAGGGTCCAAGGTTCAGGGCGTTACAGGTTCCAAGGGTTACAGGGTCCGGGTTCAGGGGTTACAGGGTCCAATGTTCAGGGGTTACAGGGTCCAAGGTTCAGGGCGTTACAGGTTCCAAGGGTTACAGGGTCCGGGTTCAGGGGTTACAGGGTCCAATGTTCAGGGGTTACAGGGTCCAAGGTTCAGGGCGTTACAGGTTCCAAGGATTACAGGGTCCGGGTTCAGGGGTTACAGGGTCCAATGTTCAGGGGTTACAGGTTCCAAGGGTTACAGGGTCCAAGGTTCAGGGGTTACAGAGTCCAGGGGTTACAGGGTCCAAGGGTTACAGGGTCCAAGGTTCAGGGGTTACAGAGTCCAGGGGTTACAGGGTCCAAGGTTCAGGGGGTTCAGGGTCCAAGGTTCAGAGTGTGTGTTGGTTCTGATGTGTGTTCTGGTTCTGAAGTGTTCTGGTTCTGATGTATTTCTGTTCTTCAGGATTCGGGCTGGACTTCCTGCCAGCGCCGGCCTCTTCGGGGTCTGACAGCAGCTGGCATCAGGCCCCGCCCCCCGGCAGCTCCTGGGCCAATCAGGAGTCTCCGATGGAGGAGTCGTCCACAGTGCTGCTCGACAGCCTCAAGGTCCATAGACACACACTCACTCACACACTGACATACAAAAAAACACATACATTAAAACATTAACACACTGACACACACACATTTTTTTTTACCACTTTTTCAATCTTTATTCTTGTAGTTCTTTATTGTGTTGTAGTAAACCTTTAGCTCCATGCTAACGTGTCTCTCCCCCCTCAGTCCATCTGGTCCGGCTCCATGCTGCAGACGGGCCCCTCGGCTCTGGAGCAGCTCCTCCTGCAGCAGAAGCAGAAGCAGCGCGGCGCCATGAACCCGCCGCACTGAAACCCAGCCGGGCGGCGCCGAGAGTCGCATCCAACGCACCCAACGGGAGGAGAGAGAACCGCCCAGTTTGACCCAAACCAGCTCCAACTCAAAAATGGGAAATTAAACCTTAAAGCGAGAGAAAAGGTGGGAGGCTGGGGAGGCGAGGAGCCCCACGAGGACCGAGGACCAGAGGGCGGAAATATGAACATTGAGGAACATATTCGCCCCCAAAACTCACCATTGTAACCCCCAGAACTCACCTTTGTAACCCCCAACTCACCATCAGAAACCCCCCTTACTCCCCTGTTAAGGACAGATTCCTCCCTCACCGAAAAATAAATAAAAAACCTTGTGGGCGTCTACAGGTCCGGTTCGAGCGCCTGTTTTTAGCGTCTCAGCCGCCGCAGATTGACGTGAGGTGTGTGAGAGGGGGGCAGAGGGGGGGGGGTCAGGTGAGGCACCGGGAGGGGGGTCAACATAGACTTTCTGATCTCTTTATTCATTTTCATTGCTGAGAAGGAGGAAGGAAGGAAGGACCGGGTTGGGGGGTCGGCTATATAAATATATCAGTCAATATATTGCCATAGTTGGACTTTTTGAGCCTGAAACACCCAGCCCCCCCCAATGAAGAGTTCTGAGGGGGGGGGAAGACTCTGAGGTCACAGGGAGGAAAGCAGTCCGAGAGACATGTTAAAAAAAAACACAAAAAAACGTAGCGATAGCATTAGCGTCACGAGGTCGCAGATATTAACAAAAAAAATGAAATCTGGTGTTTTGTGATTTGTTCGTAGCAGTTTTAGCTTCTCGCCCTCCGAGGCCAACGCAGGTTTGTCTGTTCGCTTCCTGCTTGAATATTTTCGGGGTTCTCTTCCTCTCCGGACTCTACTTCCTGTTGTTTCTTTTACTTAACGGAGAACACAAAAAAAGAAACCCCCAAACCCCTGCTCGCTTACTGACCCTGCATCCACTCCACGTTACTGTCCTGTCGCTGCAGACAGACGGGTCGTACCCTAAAACCACTTTTTATCAGCGTCTGCAGCTCTTTTCAAACAGTCCTGGGGAACCTGGGAGAACACGGAGAACCACAAACAGTGAGGAACCCTCTGAAGGTCTCTGGAAAGCCCTCGAGTTTCTCAAAAGCCCTCGAGTCTCTGAAAAGCCCCCGAGTCTCTGGAAAGCCCTCGAGTTTCTGAAAAGCCCTCGAGTCTCTGAAGAGCCCTCGAGTCTCGGAAGAGCCCTCGAGTTTCTGAAAAGCCCTCGAGTCTCTGGAAAGCCCTCGAGTCTCTGAAGAGCCCTCGAGTCTCTGAAGAGCCCTCGAGTCTCTGAAGAGCCCTCGAGTCTCTGGAAAGCCCTCGAGTTTCTGAAGAGCCCTCGAGTCTCGGCCTCCTGTCTTTAGATCAGCGCCGCAGCTGCAGGTGGATTTCCATCATGGGTTCCTCTGCTGATATGGATCCACGGAGGGAACCGGGACGTCTTTCCTCGGATCAGCTGTTCAAACCCCTGGATGAGTTTTAGTGTAGAACCATAGGAGGAAATAACAACCCCATAATATTCACATTTAAAACCCCCGGGACGTAAATCCATTACTTCTGCCTGTTTTCTGTCGTTTGTCTTTAAAATAATGTTAAAGCTGAAAGCGTTTTGAGAAAAGTTAACGGTTAAATCTCTTTTATTAACCCTTTGTCTTGAGAGTTTGTGAGTTAAATAAAGGTTCCTGAAGGGTTTTATTTCTCTGGCTTCACACCTGTAATCTGAGAGCCAATCAGAGAGCAGAGAGTGGCAGCTGACCAATCAGGACGCAGCACTGTAAGTAACTTCCTGTCCAGTTTTTCTACACATCGTTTTGTTCCTAAAGGGATTTAAAAAAATTAAATTAAAAGGCTGTTTTTATGAAAGCAGGCTTCAGAGAGACGTGTCTATTTTCCGTGTGATTGTGCTTTTCATGTTGCATTTACAAAATGTATTTGAAATAAAGATATTAATGAATGTGAGGCGCTGTGGAGGAGCTGCTTTGTGAGTAAAAGACTCTTTAAATAAACCCAACTGTCTCCTCGCACCGTCGCACTGTTTTTATTTCGAGCTACAGACATTTCAACAAATATATCCACTAAGATTAATACATGAAGACTTGTGACTCGGACTTGGACTCTTCTTGGGTGACAAGGACTCGAACACAGGTAATGATGACTCGGACTCGAACACAGGTAATGATGACTCGGACTCGAACACAGGTAATGATGACTCGGACTCGAACACAGGTAATGGTGACTCGGACTCGAACACAGGTAATGGTGACTCGGACTCGAACACAGGTAATGGTGACTCGGACTCAAACACAGGTAATGATGACTCGGACTCGAACACAGGTAATGATGACTCGGACTCGACCACAGGTAATGATGACTCGGACTCGACCACAGGTAATGGTGACTCGGACTCGAACACAGGTAATGGTGACTCGGACTCGAACACAGGTAATGGTGACTCGGACTCGAACACAGGTAATGGTGACTCGGACTCAAACACAGGTAATGGTGACTCGGACTCGAACACAGGTAATGGTGACTCGGACTCGAACACAGGTAATGGTGACTCGGACTCAAACACAGGTAATGATGACTCGGACTCGAACACAGGTAATGATGACTCGGACTCGACCACAGGTAATGATGACTCGGACTCGACCACAGGTAATGGTGACTCGGACTCGAACACAGGTAATGGTGACTCGGACTCGAACACAGGTAATGGTGACTCGGACTCGAACACAGGTAATGGTGACTCGGACTCGAAACACAGGTAATGATGACTCGGACTCGAACACAGGTAATGATGACTCGGACTCGACCACAGGTAATGGTGACTCGGACTCGAACACAGGTAATGATGACTCGGACTCGACCACAGGTAATGGTGACTCGGACTCGAACACAGGTAATGGTGACTCGGACTCGAACACAGGTAATGATGACTCGGACTCGACCACAGGTAATGATGACTCGGACTCGACCACAGGTAATGGTGACTCGGACTCGAACACAGGTAATGATGACTCGGACTCGACCACAGGTAATGGTGACTCGGACTCGAACACAGGTAATGGTGACTCGGACTCGAACACAGGTAATGGTGACTCGGACTCGAACACAGGTAATGACGACTCGGACTCGAACACAGGTAATGATGACTCGGACTCGAACACAGGTAATGGTGACTCGGACTCGAACACAGGTAATGATGACTCGGACTCGAACACAGGTAATGGTGACTCGGACTCGAACACAGGTAATGATGACTCGGACTCGAACACAGGTAATGGTGACTCGGACTCGAACACAGTAATGATGACTCGGACTCGAACACAGGTAATGGTGACTCGGACTCGAACACAGGTAATGGTGACTCGGACTCGAACACAGGTAATGGTGACTCGGACTCGAACACAGGTAATGGTGACTCGGACTCGAACACAGGTAATGGGACTCGGACTCGAACACAGGTAATGGTGACTCGGACTCGAACACAGGTAATGGTGACTCGGACTCGAACACAGGTAATGATGACTCGGACTCGAACACAGGTAATGATGACTCGGACTCGAACACAGGTAATGGTGACTCGGACTCGAACACAGGTAATGGTGACTCGGACTCGAACACAGGTAATGGTGACTCGGACTCGAACACAGGTAATGATGACTCGGACTCGAACACAGGTAATGATGACTCGGACTCGAACACAGGTAATGATGACTCGGACTCGAACACAGGTAATGGTGACTCGGACTCGAACACAGGTAATGGTGACTCGGACTCCAACACAGGTAATGATGACTCGGACTCGAACACAGGTAATGATGACTCGGACTCGAACACAGGTAATGATGACTCGGACTCGAACACAGGTAATGATGACTCGGACTCGAACACAGGTAATGATGACTTGGACTCGACCAATAATATTTGTGTGTAAATTGTAAATATAAAACACCTTCCACCAAAAACACTTTGCAAATGTAAAACGGATCTGCAAAATAATTCCGCAAAAAACAAAAAAAAGGAATTTGTGAATATCTCTCTAAAGGCACGACACACCAATCCGATTATCGGCGTCGGCACGCCCTACTCAGATTGGTGTGTCCCGCACCGTCGGGTCTTTTCAGCCAAATAAATCACTCTGATTGGCTGTTCAGCTAGCAAATCAGTGCATGAGAAGCGAAACGGAAGTGAGGTACCCAAACAAACTATTAAGAGGGCAAATCTGAGATTTCATTGAACTCCAGCTCTCGACAGGTTCAGGAAAGCCCCGTGAGCTTCTCGCTGTAGAGTGAAAATGGAACGCACATGCTATTTGTTGTTCTGTTCTTCTTCTCTTGGTTGTCACGCAGTCTGTCTTCCGGTTGCCTCTTTTGAATGGCAAATACACACTACCGCCGCCTGCTGGTAAGGAGAGTTATTGCCACTCACGCATGCGCAGTTCGTACGTGCTTCTTGGCCGTCGGCTGAAGTCTTTGCGGTGTGTTCCAGTGCGACACATGGCCAACGCAACAGCCGGGGTCCGTCTGTGTCAGTTCTTTGGTGTCAGCTTGGTGTGTCCGGGCCGTAACATGTACGACTTTCCATCAGGAAAATAAAAAATCTGATTTTTTTTAATTTTCATTAAAAAGTCAAAATGTTGTGATTTTGGGGGGAAATCTAAATTTGAAAATTTCAGAAAAACTGATTTTTTTTATTTTCTGGGGGAAAAGTCAAATGTATGTAAAATAGAATCATCAGATTTTTTTCAAAATTCTTTTGATTTCCAGAAAAAAAAAGTCAGAAATGTGAGATCTTCAGAATAAATTCGATTAATTCGGGGCAGCATCGAGGCTTCCTGCTGGGACAGGGAACTCAGTCTTTACGTTTCTGTTGGCAGTACTTCACATTTTTTTAAATAATTATTATTGAAAAAGTCCCAACATTTTGAGATTTCCTGAAAAAAGTCTGGATTTTCAGAAAAAAATCGAAATGTTGAGATTTTTTTTTAAATAGTCAGAATTTTCTGATTTTTTTTTGAGATTTTGGAAAAGTGTCCGAATCTTTTGAGATTTTTTTTATAAAATAGTCAAACTGTTGAGATTTTGGAAAAAAAGACAGAATTTTTATGTTTTTTTAAATAATTAAAAAAAGTCAGACCTTTTGGATTTTCAAAAGTAAAAACAAAGGAGTCCAATGGAGGCGTTTCATGCAGTGGAGGGATTTTAGCCTTTGCAGACCATTAACATGCACTAACACATCTAGAACTACAGGAGAGGAGACACCACTAATAGACAGGGCCTCTTTAATGTGTGGTGATCAGTCAGACGCTGTAGATACAGATCAATAATAACACCACTAATAGACAGGGCCTCTTTAATGTGTAGTGATCAGTCAGACGCTGTAGATACAGATCAATAATAACACCACTAATAGACAGGGCCTCTTTAATGTGTGGTGATCAGTCAGACGCTGTAGATACAGATCAATAATAACACCACTAATAGACAGGGCCTCTTTAATGTGTGGTGATCAGTCAGACGCTGTAGATACAGATCAATAATAACACCACTAATAGACAGGGCCTCTTTAATGTGTGGTGATCAGTCAGACGCTGTAGATACAGATCAATAATAACACCACTAATAGACAGGGCCTCTTTAATGTGTGGTGATCAGTCAGACGCTGTAGATACAGATCAATAATAACACCACTAATAGACAGGGCCTCTTTAATGTGTGGTGATCAGTCAGACGCTGTAGATACAGATCAATAATAACACCACTAATAGACAGGGCCTCTTTAATGTGTAGTGATCAGTCAGACGCTGTAGATACACATCAATAATAACACCACTAATAGACAGGGCCTCTTTAATGTGTAGTGATCAGTCAGACGCTGTAGATACAGATCAATAATAACACCACTAATAGACAGGGCCTCTTTAATGTGTAGTGATCAGTCAGACGCTGTAGATACAGATCAATAATAACACCACTAATAGACAGGGCCTCTTTAATGTGTGGTGATCAGTCAGACGCTGTAGATACAGATCAATAATAACACCACTAATAGACAGGGCCCTCTTTAATGTGTAGTGATCAGTCAGACGCTGTAGATACAGATCAATAATAACACCACTAATAGACAGGGCCTCTTTAATGTGTGGTGATCAGTCAGACGCTGTAGATACAGATCAATAATAACACCACTAATAGACAGGGCCTCTTTAATGTGTGGTGATCAGTCAGACGCTGTAGATACAGATCAATAATAACACCACTAATAGACAGGGCCTCTTTAATGTGTGGTGATCAGTCAGACGCTGTAGATACAGATCAATAATAACACCACTAATAAACAGGGCCTCTTTAATGTGTGGTGATCAGTCAGACGCTGTAGATACAGATCAATAATAACACCACTAATAGACAGGGCCTCTTTAATGTGTGGTGATCAGTCAGACGCTGTAGATACAGATCAATAATAACACCACTAATAGACAGGGCCTCTTTAATGTGTGGTGATCAGTCAGACGCTGTAGATACAGATCAATAATAACACCACTAATAGACAGGGCCTCTTTAATGTGTGGTGATCAGTCAGACGCTGTAGATACAGATCAATAATAACACCACTAATAGACAGGGCCTCTTTAATGTGTGGTGATCAGTCAGACGCTGTAGATACAGATCAATAATAACACCACTAATAGACAGGGCCTCTTTAATGTGTAGTGATCAGTCAGACGCTGTAGATACAGATCAATAATAACACCACTAATAGACAGGGCCTCTTTAATGTGTAGGTGATCAGTCAGACGCTTGTAGATACAGATCAATAATAACACCACTAATAGACAGGGCCTCTTTAATGTGTAGTGATCAGTCAGACGCTGTAGATACAGATCAATAATAACACCACTAATAGACAGGGCCTCTTTAATGTGTGGTGATCAGTCAGACGCTGTAGATACAGATCAATAATAACACCACTAATAAACAGGGCCTCTTTAATGTGTAGTGATCAGTCAGACGCTG